CCAAGTACAACTCAAATATTTCAAATTCAGCCCCAAGCTATGCATGGTACTCACGTAAGGGCGTATAAAGGTTTCTGCAGGAAAATTACTAACTCGGCAACCAGAAGAGCTGAAAGGCTGAAATTTTAGGCGGATGTTTCCTAACCACGTGCGATTTAAAAATTTCAAATTCAGCTTTCCAAGCGCGTGGAGTATCCAAATATGGGTATATGAAGGTTTTAGCGGAAAAATTGCTAACTCGGTAACCAGAAAAGCTGGAAAGCTAAAATTTTGAGGGAATGATCCCTGTCTAAATACAACTTAAGTATTTCAGATTCAGCCTTGAGGTATGCATGATTCTTACGTAGGGGCACTTAAAAATCTTCGCAAAAAAATTTTTCACTGAACAGCTAGGTTACTTTTAAAGATCGACTGTTAGACGAAAATTGCCCACTTTGCAAAATTTATGGTGATTTATGCAAGTGACCGCAAAAGGAGGTGTAAAACAACCATTTATTCAGTTAATGACCTGAGTAATTCAAGTCTGGTGCAAAAACATATGATCGCACGGGCCTGCCGATGTGTTCCTGCCTGAGTTGCAATTTGCATATGTACAAAAAAGCATAAAAACGGGAGGGTGACACACGGGGTAGGAACATATATCCAAGGTTTCAGCCTCCCAGCTTTCCTGGTTGCTGAAATGAAAGTGGGTGACAAAATGCACTTGCTTTCCGAACACACACACACAGACAACCTCTCGACAAGACGAGTTTTTGCTGGCTGTAGCAGCGCTATTGTGCTGCCCTAACGCTGCACAGCAAAAACGCATAAAAAGGGCAAAATACAGCCAACATATGTTCATGTGTTTGTTAGCAATCACTTACATTGCTGACAAACTTACTGCTTTATGTTTAGAGGGGAAAGGCATGATCGCACCAACAAGTCTAGTATGTAGCTACAACTGGGTTACATATTTATGCAATCGCAAAAATACATGTTGGCAGGAGTTGTCGATGTGTGGGTTCGAGTTTTGTCACCCACATTCAATGCAACAACTGCAGAAGCTTAGAAACTGGTATTTTACAATGATGTGCCTAGCCGCGCGCCATCCAGACAGCTTAAAATAAGCGTCTGCACAAGCCCAGTTCGCCTAAAAAAATTCGTACAAATATTTTGGGGAGAAAGCGATTGCTCAAACTAGAAAAGTGAAAAAGCTGAAATTTCATAAAGATGTTCCACATCCTTGCGTGAACTAAAGATTTCAAATTCAGCTTTAGCGAAAGCCTGCATCACACTTACGAACTGATCGAAGCTGAGATTAAGACACCGTTGTAAGGTATCCTGCACTCACGTATGACCAACTGAATTCAAAATCAGTCTTCACGCACTTATAGCTCCCCAAGAATTTGATTAGAAAGCCATATTTTTGTGACGTTATTCTTCCCCCTCTTCCCTTCCGTACCGCTGTATTTGCAAAAGCAAACTGAGCTTTCGAGCTTGAGCATTTCATCTGGGGGTACGTGGAATTTGACGCAGCCTGTTTTACAACTTCCGGAGTAACTGGTGGGCTGAAGTTTTCTAACCAAAGCCGACGATAATGTTTGGAGAGCTGAACTTAAAAAGAGCTTTCACGTTCCTTTTACTTGCAGCATGCGCCTCGCATACGAACACGTAAAATTTAAAATAACTTTGCAACCAACGCAGTTGAGATGCTTGGACACAAGCATACCCAGGCAGCAAGAAGCTTGCGAGTCGCTGATCATTCACTATACTGGCACATGTTAGTTCGCTGTTCGTTTCGCTACTTTCTCCCCCTCCCTCATTCGACTTATGTTGTAGTGATTTGCCTCAGAAATGCATTAAAGTTACGACTGAAATCTATCAAATCTGAACCACATCGCTTTTCCATTGGCGAGCATTGTGGTTTTTTCAACTGATTAAATTTAAGCATGCGTCTCACTTTAAAATATGTACTTTTGCCAGACTACGAGATTAGCCTGCTCTTTATGACGCATTAAGAAAAAATCTCGATGATACGGGATGTAATTATTAGTGATGATTATGGGGATGATATCAAATGGACAAGTAGAGCAAGCATGAGAATTCTTTTCCAGTAGATCCTTGTTTCCAGAATTCTGTACAAAAAGTTGAATCAGCATCCTTAGATTGCGTGTTCTTGCTAATCATCATTCATTATACAGCATTTTGTCAGGATAACGACGAGGCGTTAGCTCACTGCAATGTATTTGTTTAATCAGCTTTCTGATTTACATTTAAGCGGTTTTTGAAGCTAGAATTTATGCAGAGGGGGCCACTGGCATAAAAAGTGCAAAAAACTCTTTTTATGCTTTTTTGCCTATATGGAAATTGCAAAAACGCATATTGCGATGACCCTGTCTGTGTGTGTATGCGTGCGTGTGTGTATGTATCTTTGTGTGTATGTGTGTTCGTCTGTCCGGTATTTCAACTCGGCAATCAAGCAAGCTACGGCGCCAAAATTTTGCAAGTGTTTCCCCGGCCAAGTGCCGCCCCAGGACCGCGGTACCAACACTCACGCAAGTCTAGGCCCTGCACACGTGAACGTGAAAGTCCTGGCGGAAAAACTGCTAATTCGGGAATAAGAAAGCATAGAAAGCCGAAATTCCGAGGTTATGTCCCCCGTCCACATGTAATTCAAAGAGTTCAAGTTCAGTGTCAGGTGTGCGTGGCCCCGTGAAGGTTCCTGGCACGGAAATCGCTAACTTGGGAACCAGAAAAGCCAAAAGACTGAAATTTTAAGGGGATGTTCCCAGCCCGTACACAACTTAAAGTTATCAAATTCAGCCCCAGGCGTGCGTGATTCTCACGTTCGGCCCCGTGAAATGTTTTAGGGGAAAAACGGCTAACTTGGAAGCCAGGAAAGTTGGGAGGCTGAAATTTTAAGGGATGCTCACAACCCATGTGCAACTTAAAGATTCCAAATCGACCCCTAGGGTATGCCTTCAGGTCACGCGCGGTCCCGTGAAAGTTTTGGTGGGAAAATTGCTAACTTGGGAACCAGAAGAGCTGGAAGCCGAGATTTTAGGAGAATATTTCCCGCCCAAATACAACTTAAGGGTTTCAAATTCAACCTCCAGGTGCGCTTGGTTCTTGCGTACGGTCGCTTAAATTTTTAGCAGGAAAATTTCTCATTGTACAGCTAGGTCTTTTCAAAAAGCGGCCGCTAAACAGGAATTTTTCATTTCCTTCTATGCAAAATTTACGATGATTCACCGTATTGAGCGCACAAGGTAGGTGTGAAGAAGCGACCGTTCATGCGGTTAACCTGCTTGCTTCAAGTGTGGTGCAAAAACGCATGATCGCACCGGTTCGCCCGGCGCGTTCCAGCCTGAGTTTTATTTAGAATGACAGTGCAGTTCTTTGAAAACTTAATGATCTATTGCCTGTGTATTTCAAGCCACTTCGATTTAAATTGAATTTTGGACGTAATGTTAGCGCAGGATGCTTGTGCCTTTGGCTACCATTTTACAGATATTGAGATATTGAGTTGAATTCTGTGCTTCTGTTACCCAGTTTCTTGAAACTATAAAATGGTGTTGGGTTTGAACACGGCGTAATTTGATGCCGTGTATCTGTTAGATTACGTTCTCTCTACACCGAAAGTTAATTTTTTTTTACGCTGTTTGTTTTACATCCCGCCCAAAATCGAGGAGCTTTTTTTTCAATACTTTGGCTTCCTAGACTCACAGTTCTTGAGTTGTATTGTGAGCAGACACATGCAGAATGTGTTTTGCATTCACTGAAAACTAGGTGCGAAAACTACACTGCTCTGGTCATGAAATGTTGTTCTGGCTAAAGGGTCCGCTTAAGTTAAACGATTAAATCTAATAATACGTCATTTTATCGAGAGCGGCAAAACGAGGTGTTCTTTGTGGAAGCACTGATATTGTGCAAAATTCAGGATTTAGGCAAGATTTCCATTCGGTATTATTATGGTCTGCCAGATCAGTTTTCGAATTCCTACGTGTCAAGTAATTATAAAGCATGATTTTGTTGTAAAGAAAAAGACGAAAAAAAAACAAAAAAAAAGCACTCACCTTGGAACTAGCCGTTTTGCTGATCTGATTTAGATTAACGAACGGGCTTGGATTATAAAGGCCTTTGTTTTCATATTTATTCCCAAGGATCTTTTCTTCCTTCTTATCCATTCCTTTATTTTCTCCCACCTCTTTTTTATCCTTTCCTTTGTCATCAGCAGCCTCTTTTTGAAGTTTTTCATTGGCCTTATCATTAGCTTCTTTTTTCTCCTGTCCTTCCTTGTCCTTTCCGACGCCTTCCTTTTTATCTTTTTCCTTTCCCTCACCACCTTTTTCCTTTTCCTTTTCGTTAGCGCCGCCTTCTTTTTCACCTCTTTTCTCATCTTAAAATTTTTTGGCTTGAATCGAGCCCTAACAAGCGCACACATAATTGATTTTTGCCGACAGCCTATATAACCGAACTCGATCGATGAATCTTAAGAACTTCATTTTGACTAGTTTTGTTATTCCTGCTTCATTAGCATATGTTATTCATTGATCTCAACCGATTGTAACAATCGGTCTACATATCGACGGGAAACCCCCAAGGAAAGAAAATAGCCACTCCAACAACCACTTGGTGGAAGGAGAAGACGGCTACAGTTAGCCAAGGACTTTTGGTGTATTGCTGAATCTCAGTACGTATTGGTCCTGTTCTGATATTCTGAGTCATTTCAAGCACTCCCTACGGGCTCTCTTTCATACATGCCGTAACTGTGAAGAAGCCGTGAGGCAGGGCTCTGTATGTTTATAAATGGCAGATATTGCGTATCGCTGGACTTGGCTGCCAGAGACCTTTGCAGGAAAAGAAACAACGGTAAGTTATTCTCAATAAAAGTGTGCCGGCGAGTATACCTGATGGCGAATGACGTGTAAATTGAATGGTGAGGAATGAGTGTTGTAGATAGGTTCTGCGTACAGATACTCTTCAGAACTGAAATCATGGGTCTTCAGATCTAAACCCCTACTACCTGAAAAGTTTTGAGTTCAGATAAAGTTCAAGCTTTTGCTAAATGTACCTTCTTTCTTGTTTTCAACTGCGGTTTCAGTCTGCTTCTGTTCTTTTCGATGTGCTTTCTTCTCATTGTCTTCAACTGCGGTTTCGGTCTGCATCTGCTCTTTCCGTTCTGCTTTCCTCCCATCATTGTCTTCAATTGCGGTTTTGGTGTGCTTTTGCTCGCCGTCCTGAAACGTCCCCTTTTTGATTTTTTATTCACTGAGTAATTCGGTTATAAATTTATGGGTTGGCCTAGTTGCATTTTGCAGCAATTCTTGGAAACTTTGGCTTCATCTCGTCAGGACCAAAAGATATTAGTTTAATGCATTTTCTGCATGCTCACTATCGATTCTTCGTGCGACTGAATCCGAACTTGGGAAAACTGCATTGCTACATCTGCGTTAGAATTTTCGGAGCCCCCTGCCTTTTTAATATTTGAAAAATTTCATCTTTGATTGTGTAGATTTAATGTAGTTGCTGTTTTGGTAGGAAAGAGAGAGAATGTAAAAGAGGAGCCTAAAGTTAGTCCTCAAAATGACTGCGCACACGAGAAACTCAGCCAATGCTGCTGGCACACGGTCAATAAAAACTTCGGCACGTAGTTAATGATTGGTTGTAATGGTCTCTGAGCGGCTCTCATGCACACAGAATGTAAAATTTTTAGATCTTTGCTTGTTCGATTCGGTTCTAGAGTTATTAGAATACCGACGACGTACGCAGACATGCAGTCACCAGTCAGAAAGAAATTCGTGCGGTGAGTTCTGTCAATTAGTTCTGACTAAAGCGTAGAACTAAAGCTCCCAAAATCCCGAATTCCTATCCCTCTCTATTGTGAAATTGTTGAAAATATCATAGGCTTTAAAAAAGGCCCCGTTTACAGCATGACGTTCAACGCATTTTCAGGCATGCGAAATTTGTGGCTTAGATTTGACTTCCTGATTTTATTCGAGCCCGAATGTTGATTGCTGATCAAAACAAATACTTCCAAATGTTCCAGTTTGAGCAAAAAAAAATCGATTTTAAAATTGTAATTAGTAATGTCGATCAGGGCATATAGGGAATCTGAAAGCTGTTTTCAAGTCTGCATCTCGTGCATAACTCGGGACTTATTTGAAGATCTACTTTAGTCGAATGACGACACAGGCAGTATGTCCGGCATGTTTATAGCCAGCAGTTCACAAATGCATTTTTTAAATGTGTTCTGTACTGTGTAATAGCAGCACAAAACGCATATTGTCACGGGGTTGTCTGTGTGTGTGTGTGTGTCCGCAGCAACTTTTCCGCAACTTTCAACTCGAGAGCCACAAAAGTTAGGAAGCTGAAAATTTAGGAGAATGTCGCGACGACCGTGATGAGAAAACTAATGGATGGTGATTCATGGCTTTTTCGTGGTTGCGATGGAAAACGAAAGGAATGTGGTTCCCTTTCAAAAAAAACTCCAGACAGAATATGGTTTTGTGATAAACATTTTTTTTTGTGCTGTGATGATGTGTTGTGCGTTCGCATATCGGCTGACGGATCTCCGTCAGCAAATTTGAGTTTTTGTAAGGCCTCGCTAATGGACTGCCGTTAGCGAGGCTATATAAGCTAACGGCTCCTACACCCCGGGTTCTTGTTCTCCTTCTCCTCTTGCTTCGGCTGGCTTTCAAGGTTCGTCTTGGGTTGCTGTTTGGGTCTGTTTATTGGCTGCTGGGGTTTTAGCTGGCTTCTTGGTTTTGATTTGCTGCTGGGGCTTTTTGATTTTGCGTGGAGTCGGCCTCCATTAAGCTATCTTACACTGCTTCAAGCCGAACAGTTTCAATTGTTGGTCCAGGTTAGTTAAACGACGCAACAGGGAACGTTCTCCACCCACGTGCGACCCAGCAAATTTAAATTCAGCCTACCCGTGCCCGCGGGTAACACGTACGGCCCCGTAAAAGTTTGAGTGGGTAAAATTATTATCAAGGGAACCACAGAAACTAGAACGCTAAAATTTTGTGGGCATGCCCCCCACCCATGTGCTACCCAGAAAATCTAAATTCAGCTTTCCTCTGCCCGCGGGTAATATGTACGGCTCCGTGAAAATTTTGACGGGTAAATTATTATCTCAGGAGCCACAAAGTGGAATTTCGCAGTATTGACCCCTTGCCCACGCTCGACCTTGCCTATTCAAATACAGCGTTCCCGCGCTCTCAGGTACCACCTTCAGCCTCGTGAAAATTTTTGTGGGGGAATTATTATTTCGAGAACAATAAAAGCCAGGAAGCCGAAATTTTATGATAATGTCCACATACAATCTTGAAATTTTAAATTCAGTTCCCCGCACGTCCGAGTATCACTTACGGCCCCGTGGAAGTTTCGGCAGGGGAAATTATTATCTTGGGGACTGCGAAAGTTGAGAATCTGAAATTTTAAGAAGATCTCCTCTACAAACGTATAACCTCGCAAATTTGGGCTCAGCCTTCACACACCCCTGGGTACCACGTACAGCCGCGTGGAAGTTCTGACAGAGAAGTTATTATCTTGTGTGCATGAAATTTCTAATGAGAAATTCCGCAACTTATGAACCAAACAACATTTCAACTATTTTTGCACAGATCAAAATGCAAGGCAGTGAAAATCATTAGCAGGCAATCAATCGTTCGGTGAACGGAATTGCACAAAACGCATGATCGCACCGGCTGCCTTGGTGTGCGCCGCTATTTATTTGAATTGCTCAAGCACAAGATCGAAAATATAGGAAAAGATCCAGACAACTTCAATTTTTGGTAAAAAAGTTTAAAAATTATGGGCCAAAAATTTATTCATCTTTTTCAAGCTTCAGAATAACTACCATGCGCATCTGTGTTGAAATTATTCCTGACGGTTATGATATTAACGTTAAGTTTTGTCTAAATACAGTTGCTTTGGTTGGTCTGTAAGCATAAGGAGAGTTTAGCGAGCATACCTCCAATGAACTGTGCCACGCTGACGTTGGGACAAGAATCGCACAAGCGGTTTCTAGTGCGTAAAAAGTGACAGTGTGTGCAAAGCGGAGGAATTGTGGTGAAATTTTCTTCTTTTCCTTTTGGAAGCTTATCTCTTCTATGTTACAGTAGAAAAAGATAAGAAAAAACAGTAACTTCTCACCACAAAATATAAGAGGATCGAACCTCTCAATCTCGCCGGATTTCCTTTTAACAATCTTTATCGAAGCAAATACAAC